TCCAATCCTTATTTTAACTTCTAGACATCTTCCATAAAAATCACCTTGCTCATTGTTGGTGGCTCATAATACCTATCTAAGATTTGTTTAGGATTATATCAAGTTTTTGTTTAGAATTACTTAAGATTTTATTAGAATTTTTTTATGGTTTGTTTAGATCTATATTAGGATTTGATTGGAGCTTACTTAAGATTTCTATTTTTGATATGTATGTTGGATTTTTTTTATTTTTTATAATTTCTATTATTAATATTTATTTGATATTCTTTATTATTTTTTTAGAAATTTTTATCATTTTTCTTTAGAATTAATTTAAAATTTTTTTATATTTTTTAAGACTAATTTTGGATTTGATTAAGATTTTATTATAATTATTAAGATTTCATTGGAAATTATTTAATCTCCTTCCTTTGTATTATCTGACTTATATTTAGATTTTAATAATATCCAATACTCATAAGGTTTTGAATACTATTTTAGTAGTTTTAATACTATATTGTCTTTCATACTACTATTAATGACACTTAGGAAAAAATTTCTATCACACTTTTTTACTTCATTCATGATAAGATTTGATGCACTAATATAAAAAAAATAAAATTAGTCCATTATGAAAAATATCCTTTATCTTAAATGGTCATGACCTATAGTTTTGTATTTCTATTAAATGATAAGTTTTTAGGATTAAGATGTGAGCATTTATATTTGAGCCTAATGTGGTTTTTAATGCACTTAGTCTTAATTTATAACCATACCAAAGCTCTTGAAGATCTTATTTTTATATACTTAGACTTGTCCATAATTGCTACAATCAACTTATAATATGTCTATCAACCTATGCTTTGATACCATATAGAAAGGTTTTAATGAAAAATTTGTAATATAGAATAAGTAGTATAAGTTCAAGAGAAAAACAAGAATAAGATAAATTTTATTTGTGTATCTTATATTAACATAGTTCTTACAAGAACCGAGAGGTTTAATTGCCTAGTTTTGTAGATAAAAAATGATATTCTATATTCTTGATTATACAACTTTGTTTATGTAAGATTGTCTATCATCTTCTTGTTTTTGACGTCTTCAACTAAGAGTATTTGCCATCTTCCAATTCATGTCATCTATTGGCTAAGGTCTCTTATCTTCCAATACCTATCCTAAGTAATATAGCTACCAATGTTTTCTATAGGCTTATTCACGTTTTGTCCATTTAAAATCTACAATACATTACACATGATCATATAAATAAATGTGTTATTACTTCAACTTTTAATATATACAAGATCTATTTATAAGATTTTAATACTAAATATTAAGTAAAACTTGTAACTTGACTAAATGTCATTAAAATCACATTTGATTCACAAGCTAAAATCTTCTTATTATATGCATTCAACAAGACTATAACAAAAAATATATCTAAGAGCAGAGTTGATTATGTTAGATCACAATAAGGATATCTCTATACAAGCTTTGAATTGGGCATTTATAAATGTTGTCAAACTATGCAATATGATTTCTCTCATTGGCATTTTTTTTTTCATTTTAATTACACCAAGTTACTCTTTATTTCTTAAATATAATCAATAATACTTTGTGAAGGTAGATGTAAATAGAATTAGTAAATTTTTTTATATTTTTCACAAAACGTGAAAATGAAATTAAGCTCTTTGGAAAAATGGAGTTGTGCATATGTCATAAAGAAAAAGAAAGGCATAGACCAGTGAGAGAATACAAAGTCCTATGCAATGAAAGAAGAACAAAGTAAAGACAATTGAGTTGATTTAATATCAAAGTATGTCAATTTAATATATATATATATATATATATATATTAAAACATACATGTAAAAAAATTTATTAAAAAAAAGTGAAACCTATAGAAATATATATATATATATATATATATAATAAAAATATTAAGAAATAAAAAATATATATTAAAGTACATATATGATTATAAAAAATAATATTTTTTTACAAAGAATTTTTTAAAGGATTTTTATTAATTGGAACAATAACTAATTTATTAAAGTGAATACAATAGTTTATGTCTTGTTATTAAAACCAACTAATAAGAATTGCATATGGCCAAGATACAAGCAAGTATTTTGGCTAACATTAAATTTATTAAGAGGGCACTATAAATTATTTAAATAAATAGATGATATTTTTCTAAAACTAGATCTTAAAATAAACTACAAAAACACCCATTAAAACGAAGGGGTTGTGAAAAAATTCTACTCAAATAAAATTTGATTCTTCAACACGAATTTTCGAAACAAATTATTATTTCCAGAACCATCTAATATTTTAAAAATTATAGATTTAAAAAAATTTATAATAAATAAGTAACAATAAGTTACATACAAAAGAATATAAGAAAAATAAAAAAAAATGATGAATAATTTTAAATAAATCAAATGCACTCTTATATTTTATAAAATATTATATAGAGTCATATTATAATTTTTCTAAAAGTTGTTGGTAAAAAAATTTATGAAATTATAAAAAAATTATAAAAATATATTATTAATTCTAATGTCAATGATTTTTAAATTTTATTATTCTATAAAATTTTACAAGCTTCAAATATGGTTTAGCACTAAATCAGTTATTTTAGAAGAAAAAACTTTAAGAAGAATAAAGCATTTGTTGGGTTTTAAAGATTTTATTTTCCTTATAAGTAGACCCTTGTAATGTAGGACATTTTTCTCCTTTTCCTATATTAAATAGTATATGCCACAAATGTTTTAATATAGAATATTAATAAAAGACATAAAAAAGGCTTCAATTCTTTTATATGCTAGAATTGCACAAAAGAAGTAGTCTTGCATTTAAAGCTTAATGACTACATCTTGCCATTTTAGATTAAATGAATTGTCACATATAAAAAGGACTTGATTTAAGAATAATGTCATAAGTATAGTGATATATCCTACATTATAATGGCTTGCATATAAGGGACAATTCTTTGTAACAATGCATTTATTGAAATATAAACATTTAATTTAAATATTTAAAAAATCTCAATTTTTTTAAATTTTATTCTTTAAAATAATTTTAATTGTAAAATAAAAACAAAAAACAAGTACAAAGAAATTAATGTATTATTATGCATTAGGATTTGTATTTCATAGATCTAATTAAACGAATATGATGCATATCATTAATTAAAAATAGATAATAATGAATTTATTTCAATATGAGATTAATGCACAATAAAATCATAAAATTAAAAAAAATTAGAGTGGTATCTTCACAAATGGAAAACATAAAAATCTAAAAATTGTTTTGATTAATGAGAAAATTTTCATCAGATTTTTAATTATAAGTTAATAAATTATTTAATTAGTTATATGAAAACAAAAAAATATAACTAAATGAGGTTATCTTTACAAAGCCAAATTTTTGATGATTTAATAAAACTACAATGTCTCTATCGCAATTGAAAGAATAAAAATTGTCTTGACATTTAGTCCTAAAATAATATTTGTGAACTTAATTTTATTATTATTTTTTTGTAAAATGATAAATTGGTATTTAGTCTTTTATTATGTATATGTATTATATATATATATATATATATATATATATATATATATAAGCAGAAAATAGAATTATTAACTAATACATAAAAAATAATATAGATAGATTTATTATTTTAAAAATGATTTATTTATTTAAAAATATTCAATTATAGAATAATCTTCTAACAAAGAATCAAAATTATTAAGATTTTTTTTATCAACTTGTAAATGTATTTTTTTTAAGTTATATAAATTAAATAAAATGATATCTACTATGTAATATATATATATATATATATATATATATATATATATATTATATTAGATAATATAAACCACAAGTTTTTATCAATTCTTAATAATTTAAATTTTTTAATATTTCTATTTTTAATTTTGAATTTGATATATATATATATATATATATAGATAGATAGATAGATAGATAGATATTTATTTCTAAATATCAAATAAATGGTTGAAAGATATAATAATTTAGAACAATTTTTAAGGTCAAATCCTAATAAATATTTTATGCTAATACCTAATATTTAATAAAAATGTAATTTAGTTTATTCTCAATCAATTAATTTGGTCACCATTGTAATTTATACAAATATATTCAAGATATGTTTGTAAGGTGATTCTTAAAGATTTAAAACTTAATAGAATAAAATACATGTATTTGATACTATAGCACAAATATCATGTATTAGATTGCTTTAATTATTATTATACATAAGAAACATAAGAAACTTATGTATTTGTTAAAAATATATATATCTAAAACAAAAAAAAATCTCATTTGTAGAAACATCAATTGATTTAGTTATATATACATATATAATGAGAATCGTTAATGCTACATCTCCAATTGATATTGCTATACCCCATGTGACCTCATAAATAATTAGCTAATAATAAACCTCTTTCTTTTATGGATTTTTTTTTTCTTACTTTACCTTAAGAAAAAGTGGTTGAGAGGGAGACAAAGAATATTTTATTAGAAAACAAGGTGCAAGTTATTTTTTAAAAAACAGAATATTTGTCTCAAAATTTTCTTAATTGAAACTCTTGATTTTTAAAAAATTTACTTTTTTGCCATTTTTTTTTAAAAAAAAAACATTCAATTTTTGAACCAATATTATGAATAAATATATTGGGCTGCCAAATGCCCCCTAAACATAGAAGCATGTTTTTTAGTCAAATTAAGTTGTGTGGAGGTCACAGGGGGTGTAGCAATATAAATTAGGAAAGTGGCATTAACAATTCTTGCATGCAATAGAAATAAAGCTCATAAACTATGAGTCATTACCTACCTGTCATTAATATACTGTTAACTATTTATTTATGCATATTCCTTTAATTTGCAATCCTATATATATAATCTTATATATATAATACTAATGAAAGCCTATAAAGTTGAATTTGAAATTGAACGACTTCAATTTCTACAAGCCGATTTATCACAGACAAATGGAGAAGGTACATTTCAACATACAGAACGTCCTCATGGACAATAAAAATTACTTGGTTGACGAGAAGTCGATCCTTGCAGCAGAAAGAAGTCTCGGGATGGGAACTCATCTCAAATCGCTACTCATTCTCAGGAACTCTCTTCCCGTGCTATTCAAGTCTTGATCTCAAGGCTAAACTAGTAATATATTAATCTGTTTTTGCAGTTCACAGCCATACAATGAAAACCTCAACAAGCACAAATACAATGGCAGGAAATCTGTATTAAAGAATTTGCACAATTATCCTTGAGGTGGTCATTACAAATATACTATACAACTGGATGGATAGGTGAGCCACAAGCCTTTGGAGAATGAAGTCCTTCTTCAAACACTTGCCGACCTCGGACAAATGTGGTTATCACCTTTCCCGAGTATTTGTGTCCCATGTACGCTGTCACCTGTATAAAATGCAGATGTTACTATTCAAATCAAGTTCCTACTCTCCCGAACATATTTCTTCTAAACTGAAAGTTATGGAAGCATGTGCACTGTTTAGCATCCGAATTGCAAGTCCAGGAAGTGAATCAGTGTTAAGAACAGATCTGTACTTTGTTTTTGAAGTAAATGGGATAATGACCATCGATCACAAACGATGCTTCTGGATCCCAGACTACAATATCTGCGTCCTTCCCAAACTCAAGTGTTCCCTGGTCAACTCGTCACATATTACACAACGTCAGCCACACATGTATCCTTCCTGACTACGTGATCACGCCTACTTAACATCCTAGAATGCAAATTGCTTCAGTTGAATAATTTGTCTTAGCCAAAAGTAAAATAATAATCTGAATCAGAGATGGCGGAAGCTAAGGGAACCTTTCTTGGAAGGTTGGCCAATTTAGCAGGCGCCGCACTCCACCAGTTAGACATTTGTTCAATGGACATGCCTCGGGCACTTCCATGAGTCCATGTGGCTGGCAATGAAAACTGCAGAAAACCATGCATTATACACTCAGATATTTGTAAAAATGCGCCGATAAAGCTCTTCGTACCATAATGCTAATCGTAGACCTTGATCTGCAAACCAAACAAGTTCAGGACAGCCTTCTACATAAGCAACCTTTCAACAGCAATACGCAAAGAGATATACTAATCTCACCTGGATGCCAGATATACCTCCCCAAGCTTTCAAGAAATCACCTTCCTCTAACAATTTCAAATCTATAGTTGAGGGGGAGTGATCAGAAGTAATCATGTCAATTTCTCCATCCTACACACACAAGGTGATCAAGGGCACTGTTTAGTCAACCTGCACATAATGCACGGTAGGTTTGAATATCACAGATATCTCCAAAATTGGTATTGATACGGTAGGTTTGAGTATCAATACAGATCCCTGAGAAAACAAATGTCTTGTATGACTGAGTGCAGTGAACGTTAAATGTAATTGATTTAGATTAAATTGAATAGCACAAAAAGAAACACAACATGAATACTAATAATATATTGAGAGAAAAGCAAAAAAAAGAAAAAAAAGAAAAAAAGGAGATTCTGGTTCCATGTCGAACCAGCAAAGCTTTCCACAGAAGTTCCCGATTACGAGAATCCCTAATTGGTGGAGCACATTTATATTGAGTCGCTCCCTCTGGAATGTCTTCAGCAGCAAAGGCTAGGTAATGTGCACATGTCTCCACAGTCACACTACTTCCTTCTGCTTTAGCTTCCTGTAAATGAGGCCGAAAAATTGTAAGTTTCGTCATGAACGTGAATAGTTCAAAAATCTTTCTGTCTCATGTAATGAATTCACAAGGGTACACATGACCAGAAGATAAAGAATTCACGACATTAGGACGTTAATGATAGACTGTTCAACGTAAAGTGGTATTTTAGGCAGAGGTGTGACTTATACTTTAATAATGGAGAGTGTATTAGTTGCATCAGACAGGTGGACAACGTGCACATGCGCTCCATCTGCCACACCCCCAGATCTAGTGTCTTTTGCCACTTCCATCAATTGTCTCACTGCTTCAGTTTCCCTACACCAAACGAAACAACCCATGTTTAAGTTGAAATTTAATCCTACCATGACTACAAATCATGTCAACACCCTGGTTGTACACAATTAAGCGTTCTGAACAAGTTTCATATTTGGAATTCCGAATTTTGTGGTAGTCTTCAACAAATACATAATATTTCCGAATCGATTTATACAACGCTTATGATACTATAGAAAAAGCGTCGACTCGAGGAACCAGAACTGTTGAAAGGGAAAAATACCATGAGATAGGCCTGGAGTTCAAGTATCTTTGGTAACTTCGAGCGTTGCTAACTGGCTCTCCTTGCATTAAGTGAGCTGGATCAGCAGGAGGGTCTACTACTTCTTGGTGCACCAAGATGGGACGTCCATATTTTGCAAGCACTGGCAATGATGCCTATCAAAAGCAATCAACAACACAGTGAGCTTAGAGAACTGTTGCAAGATGTGAAGTCGACTCAAAACAAGCATGACACAAGTACAACAAAACTACAGGTCCAAAGCGAACCATTCGAGCAAAGTTTATAACAATCTCATCAATTCATACATTCAACAGTCAACATGCTGGACGTCCAAACGAAAGTATAAAGATGATGCTTCTCTGGTATATCAGATTTCCAAGAAAAGAGAAGCCCTAGGAAAAGGACAAAAATCTGCACGCAAGTCAATTATATTGAACTGAAACAGGTTACTTGTTCACCTGTATATCTTTCGCAGTCGTGGCAGGAAAGTCGTTGATTCCTGATGGACACATGAACGACTACAATAATTTGACCCAGCGTTAGTTACTCAAACTCTTCACTCAAATTTGCAGGAAGTAAGAACTAGACGTATATAACTTCACATGTCATCCTGTAAGATTTTTCATAAGGTAAAAAAATGCTTCGATTTGTGCTTTGTACGCAATGTATTAAGGTGGCAGGATCAAAGAGAAGGGTGGCACACCACTGAAAAGTAAATCAATTTCAAAAGTTTGGTAGAGCACACAATTTGACTTGAAAACACGGCATAAACGAGAGAAAAATTGTTTCAACCTTAAGGCCTAAGGCGCCTGCGTCAAGGAGATCCTCCAAAACTGTTGCATTGTGAGCGTACTCTGGAACTAACCCTCCCCAAAATCCTGCCATACGAGCGTACACAAAACATTGTCAATAAGAAACCGACCCCATTCATACGCTTGGTTTCCTAGTCAAGGATAAACTGGAAACAGTCCAGAGTGCGGGCAACTTACCAACATCTATAAAGATTTTTCCTTTGGAAGCTTTAATCTTCATCCACATTCATGACACCACGCACACGCGTGCACACAAATTTTAATAAACTCACAAAGATCAATGAATATACGCATGATTGCAACTTTGGTACAGAATAAGTTATAAACTGCAGATAGAAAGAGATGGGTGGGGGGATGAGCTGGAAATATGTAGCAACTACGTAAAGAAGCTTACCTTGTTCTCCAAATGCTCTTTAGTAGTGATAGTGGGCCGGCTATTCAAGGGCATGTCCACTACGGCTGTTATACCACCTGCACAGCCCGATGTCCTAGAAGGTGAATAGTAGCACCATAATACTTTTGCACCAGCAACAAATAAAAACCAAAACTAAAGCTTTGAGAGCAGCCAACCAATTCATAAAAGAAGAAGAAAGACTGGTCCCTCAAAACTCTGTCGACAAACTAAAACAAAGCATTACCGCTAATAGAGTCTCAAGGACGAAACAAATCTACATATGACATACCAGCTGCAGCAGCCATCGTGCCTGTTAAGAAGCCTTCCCATTCCACCCGGCCTGGCTCATTCAAATGTACATGACTGCAACAAACGCCACAAACTATCTTGGTTACTGTAAATATGTTTACTGGCTACCTACTTTCGACGTGTTGATGCACATGATAAACAAACCCAAGTAAGAATGTTATAAGACGAAACACAGTCATAAAGCCGGTAAACATCGCCCATGCCAAAAAATCAGATGGTTTCAATCCATATCGAGGCTGGTTAATGTTTGTACGTGTCAATAAGCCCAGGCATGATGACAGCATTTCCATAATCCAATACACGAGGTTTCCCGGGTAAGCTCTTAGGTGCTTCACTTCTTTTCGTAACCGAAACAATCCTCTCGCCTTCCACTTCCACTGCAAAATAAAAATGCATAGATGTTGGAACTTTCATTTTTAACACCTAATTTCGCATGATTTTGAGACCTAGCGAAGGATTGCTGTACAGCAACCCAGACGCACACACTACATTATCAACTAAGACAAATTATCAGTCACAAAAAACTCAGCCTATCCAACCTCTGTAATATTCGTCTTAACTTGATCCGTGCTAATAGCACTAACAGATTCGGTAACCTCTTAAAAAGAAGCCAGAAGTACAATCTTCTAAGCTGAAATTTCGAGAAAGACATGCAAATGTCAGCCAGTTGCCAATGTTCTTGGGCACAAGCAACCGTTAGAACCATTGCAATATCTCCAAAACCAATAACAGAAGTTGAATCTCCTGAAAAAGGCACAACACAACTTGCCCTTTAACATGTCGAATTAAACAGAAATTTGGAGCTGCTACTATTCCTAGTGTGAATTTAAACTTTAGGTCAAGGAGGAGCAGAATCTAACCTGAATATGGCCCGATACCCTGGGTAGTGACCACACGCTTGCTATATAGTACGAAGTGAGTGTCAGGTAGTAGACTGCATCCTTCGTCCAGCTACAACACATCATGATCAACAACTCTAAGCAGGAGTAGTGACATGACTAGCACAGTGATCACTCCAACATGTGAAGCACACACTCACTCTTTCAATTAAGTTTGTAATTCCCGACTGCAGCTCCTATAAACTAACCCCTGAGATCACTAAAACCAACTCTCCATTTGAGAAGGAATAGACTGCGACATTGTCTACCAAGAAAACCAGTCCAAATTCTGAACAACCACAGTCTAACACTCCAAAATTATCACTCTATCATGAATTCGCTGAAACATTAACTGTCGCAAACCCACCGTCACAACTACCACCGCCATAGCCACTGCCATCAGCAGTCGAACCACACATACACTTCCTCAGATTCACACAGACCACGGTCCCACTATGTTTGAAGCTAAGCCTTCGTCCATGACGTTGCTTCCCAGAATTAGCACGCGCTGCGACTCTCCCGGGCACGCAGCAGAGAAGTACCGAACACACAGATCGCGACTCAACCAATCGACCTCCTCACAAACCAAAAACGAGAGAAAGATGGAGAGATTGAGTAAGTTGGCTGTTTAGAATCTAACCTCCTTCTCTATCTGCGGCAAGTACACGAGAGTATAGCCCACAGTGAACAAAAGCAGGGGTATAGTCCACCCCCGCAAAAGCGGACGCAGCAAATCTCCGAGCTCCATGCCTTTCCCACTCACTCACTACCCACTCTCACTCTTTCCCCCTTTATCGCTCTCTCGCTCTCTTCTCCTTCGGAAATTACAACAGCAGCACTGAGAGACGGTTACGCAGTGGAGTGGAAGAACCTTTTAGTATGGGCTATGAAAGTAAGAATGAGAGAGCATCAACCTGCCCCGAGTCCAGCCAACCCAGCCTCGCAGCTGTTGGAGCTGTGGCGACCACCACCACCACCACTACGGCGTCGACGAGGACGACGAGACTACTCTACTCTACTGGACTGGACTGGACTGGTCTGGACTGGTCTGGACTCTAGAATCTAGACTGTTGATGCTCCCAGTTCCCCGGATATGTTCCAAAAGGGAACGCCCTTTTAGAACGTGCTGTTCCCTCCCGACCACCGAACCGAACCGAACCGAACCGACCCGAACCCTACTACCCCAGTTTCCCCTATTCTTCCCATCCCTGGCTAGCTGGCTGAATTCCGGATTTCCTCCCTCCCTGGTTTCTACTTCGTTGCTTCTTTGATTCCTTGAGGAGGCAGTTTCTCCCTTTGGAAAGGGTTTGTGCCAGTTTTTAAAAAAGACCTCTCCCTCTCTGAGAAGCTTGTCACAACATTCTATACCGTTCTGCAAAAAAAGTATGAAAAGGTCTGTACTCAACCAAAGATTAGTATATTTGATGTGATATTCTTATTTTTTAAGTCATGAGGTTTGTGCTTTCTTCTGTTTTTAAATGTGTGCGTGAATTATTTTATTATATTATTATTATTATTTTATGAACTGAGTTTAGTGGTGTGATGTGGACTTTCATATCCAATAATAATAACCAATTTTTTAATTAATCAATTACAAATGTACTTCTTGGTGCATGTTTCAACTTTTGTCCTTACTAATATTTTAATCTTGATAGTTTTAGTAATTGTCATATATCACCAATATTATATGTGTCTTATAAAACTAAAAGCAATATTCAATAAAATTTCTAATTATATTTATCATCATTTAATACATCACATAGAATATCTTTTCAAGTACTATTTGATTTAGTTTAGATATAGAACTGTACTTAAGGTAAAAATGGTGGAATGGAATTGAAATCAATTAGGCTAAATTTGCAACCTATTAGCAATTTAAGATGACATTAAGGCTAAACTAGACTAAAAACTTTAAATAGGCATGGATCTTTTTTTATTAATATAAACAAGCTATTAGGTACCTTCTTTGGTGTCTCTCTTTCTATTTAAGATGTTAATCATTTTTTAATTAATAAAATAGAACATGAATTTAATTATTTGTGTTTTACCAAAATCAATATAGTTGTTAAGGTAGATGTTATTAATAGCATCCTACTCTCTTTTTAGCTATATGAAATACTTCTTTGAAGGCATTATGCAAAATAAAATTAATATTTAGAAATTTTATTTAAAAAACACCTCAATCTTAACTTAGTCTAAGATTTTATAGAATATATGTTATAAAGATACATCCATAGGTAGGCTTGGAATATATGTTCTAAAAGAGATTACAAAACTTTTATTGGCTATTTAAATTGTAAGTAATATATAAATTCGTCATGCCAATATCTAACAATTCTTTAGATTTAAAATATAGAATATCAAATTTATTGCAACAAAGAATTAACTTTAAGATATTTTTTTTGATCTTGATACCTAAACATAAATAGAAAATATCTTCAAAAATATAAAACATAAAAGACAAAGTTTGAGTGTCATATATATATATATATATTTCCATAGTTACTTATATGATTAAGTAGAAGTAAATAAATATAGATTAATTTCATAAAGTCTTTTAGGATAGCTTCTTAGAAGCTTCATAGACACGATTTTGACTTCAGATGTATTTGTAGATTAGAAACTTGATCAATAAGTTAACCATATGTTGGTAGCTTGTAGAACAAGTTAATTATGTGGCGCATACATAGATAACTTGCCTTGCAAGTTAAGACATGTAGCTAGCAAAGTCAACACATGTTGGAGGTCCTATAGGATATTGTGTCATAGACATATATTTATTATAATTTTTATCTAGATGATATGAATAGGAAGAAGTAGATAAAAGTAAATTAATTTCATAATATCTTTTAGAAAAGCTTCCTAAAAGCTTCATAGACGCTGCTTTGACTTTACATGTGTTTATACTTGATTAATAAATTAGAAACTTGGTCAATAAATTAATCACGTGCCATACATGTTGGTAGCTTGCGGAACAAGCTAATTATGTAGCACCCACATAGAAACCTTGCCTTGCAAGTTAAGATACATATTGTGCAAAGTCAACATATTTTTGAAGGTCTTATAGAATATCGCCACGTAGCTCTTAAGTAGATAGTATATAGAGAGGCAAGAGTGAAGAAGGCTTCACTCTTGTCAACTCCTTTCTTGCTTGTAGTAAAGTTTCAAAGGACTTTAGTTTTCTTGTCTTTTGGCAATAGCCATTCCAATTTCTTTCTTAATATACATATTTAATTATTTCTATTTTTTCATCTTTTTCTGAAAAAAAGTCTCACTTATTTATTTATTTTTATTAAGTTCTTGTCCTTGACAGATTGACAAGAGTGCACTTACAATATCAGAGCTTTGTCTAATCGTCATTAAGAGTAGATTACCCATTTTTCTTGATAAGACATAAGTGCATTAGAAGTTGCGGATTACCCTCTTTTAAATTAATATTGTTCTTAGTATTTTCTTTGTTCTCAAGTCCTCTCTTCTATTTGTCTTGAGTAATATTACACATCTTTTCTTTTCTAAGTGTTATCATGGCAAAACTTATTGAAATGAAGAATGCAATGGCACAAATGTAAGAAAAATTGAGGGAGTTAATGCTTGCAATGCATCAACTCAATTTACCACCACAAAGAGCAACAAGATTGGCAAGAAATAATTGGAGCTGCTTCAACATCTGCACCAAATCATGTCCCTTTTCCTATGATAGAACACCCTTCTAGTATTAGAGAACCAAGAATTATCCTATCTAAGAAGTTTGATAGCACCAGATCAAAGTTTAGAGGATTTATCAATCAAGTACAATTTGTGATTGAACTTCAATTCTAAAGCTATCTAACTTCAAGATCGCAAGTTAGATTCATTGGTATGCTTCTTTTAGATTTAGCATCATTATGGTTTTTATCTTTTCTTGAACAATGAGATCCAATATTGAATAATTTGGAGGCTTTTTTGGCAAAATTTCAATCCATGTATGGAAAACATGATGTAATTTATGTTGCAACCAAGAAGATCCATATTTTACAATAAAGCAATCGATTAGTAATGTTGTATGCTTCATAGTTTTGATAACTTGCAGTTGATATCAAGTGGAATGATGTTGCACTTGTTAGCTAATTTTTCTACGTATTACAATATGAGGTAAAAAAATTAATGCTCAAGTTACCTGATCTTCAAACATTGAGTCAAGCAATTGACTTTGCTGTGAAGTATAGCAATCTTTTTTTTGAATTTCGATGTAAGAATTGTACAAGTGGACCTCAACATTACTATAATTCAATGGCAATACCAACATTTCTTCAATGCATACATTCGGAAGTAGAGGATATGCAAATTGATGCGGTATGCTTCAAATCTCTTATTGAGCAAGAAAAGACTCATCGTCATCAAAAAGGATTGTGCTTATATTATAGAGAACCTAAGTACACTACTCAACATTGCTCAAAAAAGCGACATAACTATAAAATGATGAGTACAACTATCAAAGAAGATAGTATGTCAAAAAATGAGTTTGTCTAGCTATAATAGGAACTGTGTGGCTGGAACCTTGTACAACATCTAGTGAAGGTCCTATTCTCTCCTTAGAACCCTCTCCTTGTTTTACAATAAATGTTATTTTAGGACCTAAACATCACAAAGCCTCTGCCTTGTTAGATTCATGAGCCTTAGTATGTTTCTTAGATGAAGAATTTGTTAAAAGATATAGCATACTTTTCATGTAGAAGTCAAAGATGGTCGTCCGTTGTCTTCAAGAGATGTTACTCATGAAACCCTTCCTATAGAAGTAGCAATTAATGGTCATAGTAGCTTTATAATATTTAATATCATTAGATCTCCCTCTAATCCAATCATTTTAGGTTTATCATGGCTAGAAAAATATAATCCTAAAATAGATTGGACTTCTTGTAATCTTGACTTTTTTGAAAGTATAACTAAGAACATAGTTAATCAAGTAGAAAGTCATAAGTTTAGTATAATTAAACTTGTATTTGTAGGTGCAAGAGTTTTCTTGCATGTTGCAAAAGAAGGATGACCTTGTGTCATTTATGTTGCACTTATTTCTATTGGTGGAAAGACTTTAAGTGGCATTTCAAGCCAATATCAAGATTTTCAAGATGTATTTGAAAAGAAGAATGCTGATACTCTTCTGAAACATTATTCCTATGACTGTTCAATTGACCTTCAAGAAGGAGCACAACCACCATTTCGTCCAATCTATAGTTTATCACAAAATAAATTAACTAAACTCAAGGAATATATTGAAGAAAATCTAGCCAAGAACTTTATATGCCATTCCAAATCTCTAATAGGAGCTTCAATTTTATTTATGAAGAAAAAAGATAGATCATTATGGATGTGTGTTGATTATCAAGGACTCAACAAAATCACCATCAATAACAAGTATCCACTACTTTTAATATCTAGACTCCTTGATTAATTGAATCAAGCTAAGATCTATAGAAAAATAGACCTACGAAGAGCATGCAATCTGGTACACATCAAAGAAGGAGATGAATAGAAGATTACGTTTTGAACAAGGTATGGACATTTCAAATACAACGTCATACCTTTTGGACTTACAAATGCACCAGCAACATTCCAACATCTAATGAATGATGTCTTTCGGGAGTTTTTAGATGATTTTGTTATCTGGTACCTAAACAACATCTTAATCTATTTTAAAAACACAAAAGAACATGAACTTCATATTCGTTGTGTATTACAAAAACTAAGAGATGCGGGACTCTATGCCAAGATAAAAAAGTGTATATTTCACACTACTCAAGTCCGCTTCTTGGGATACATCATTTCAAATGATGGACTTATGATGGATCCTAAAAAAGTTCAAGCTATTATGGATTGGAAGATCCCAAAAATGGTAAGAGATATCCAATGCTTTTTGGGATTTATCAACTACTATCAGATCTTCATCAAAGACTTCTTTCAAGTTGTAGCTCCACTTATACGTTTGACTTGTAAAGCCAAACTTCAATGGAATCAAGAAGTACAAGTAGCATTTGAAGCTTTGAAG